TGAAGAGCGCTCAGTGATTGTTTCCTGTTAAAACAAAACACTGAAGACGACTTTCTGAGGACGTTGATTCAAAAACATTTAAAGGAAAACACAGATTTTAAATTCAGGAGAAAAACAAGTGGCAGGAAAATCAACCTGTTAGCAGAGCAGGGACGCTAATGATCCATTTTCAGTTATTATGAGGAATCTGTGCTCGTCTCTGATCTGTCAGTGCACGCTGAGAAGTCTGAAGTAAATCTATCAACTGATGTGGGGCGGCGAGAGTCGGGGGTTCGATCCCCAGCTCCTGCAGACACATGACCTCAAGTTGCTCCCGCTTCTCTAGAACTCAGCATGCACACGCTACAAGATGTGAACATCATGACTCATCACAGGCTGCAGGATGTTATGAAGATGATTTTACCCTCCAGAGGAACGCAGCACCTCACATGACCTCACATGACCTCACATGACCTCACATGACCTCACATAAAAGATGGAGGTTAAATTTGTGATTTTAATGCATTGTGCAGAAAAACATCCTAAATTACACCTTTTGTACATTTTGTGTTTTTTTATGTTTTATATTTAAACATTTTTAAATTCTATTTTATATATTGTAATATCTTCTTCTTCTGTATTATTTAAGTTGTTGTTAGTTCTGCTTTATTTCCTTGTTAATTGTTTAGCACCAATACACCAAGTTAAATTCTGTATGTGTAAATGTACTTGGCAATAAACCCAGATTCTGATTCTGATCCTGATTCTGATTCTGATTCTGATTCTGATCCTGATTCTGACCTGATCCTGATCCTGATCCTGATCCTGATTCTGATCCTGATCCTGATCCTGATCCTGATCCTGATTCTGATCCTGATCCTGATCCTGATTCTGATTCTGATCCTGATCCTGATCCTGATCCTGATTCTAAAAGTTTGGATGAAGACTCGTCTGAAGAGACGAGGACAACGTGGATCGACTGTTGTTCAGTGAGAGCTGGAGGTCAGATTGTAACTGAGGCCTCTCAGGTGTCCAGCTGATGTACGGGTTGTGTCTTGCCACCGCTCGCCATGACGACTGTCCTCCCTCGTCTCTCGTGGTTACTGAAGTCATGAGTGACGTCTGCCAGACCCTTTCATGACGTGATCCTGAATATTTTAAATTCTTAATATCAGACATGTTTGATATGAATCGGGGGCGGGCCTGATGATCTCTGAGCAGATCAGGTGGGTTCAGATTGGATCTGTATACGACTCACACTATAAAATAATCTGAGCGGGTAAACGGTTCAGAGCGGCCTCGAGTCGGGAACACGCTCGCGATGGTCAGGAAGGAATCCGACCTCAAATCCGATTATCCTGAAGTCTGAATCACAGTTAAAGACTAAAAGCCAGAAAGCAAACTTCGTGCAAGAACTAAAAAGATTTTAAATTTGATAATGTTTCCAGGAAATGAAAACGTCTCAAATCAGAGATCCCTCAAATATATGTCTGCCTGGTCCAAACACTCGGTCATTATTAATAATAAGAGCATGTGATTATGTTGATGAGCATTAACAGTCTCACTGTTTCAGAGCCTGTAAGGACTCAGAGCTGCTGCAGGTCCTGACTGATCGTCGTCTCTTTACTGAATTTCTGTGGTTGATTTTCACTCTCGTTTTCATTTTTCCCATCAAAGATTTACATTCCAACAGTTCCTACACGAGCGACCGCAGCGCTGACCTGCAGGAGTGGAGAACATCTTCTGCAGATCGTGGAGGAAAAGCTCGTGACCAAACATGGAGATGCAGACGATGCATGTCTTTATGGTTTGTAAATTTGGGATCACTTCCAGATGTTTGAGAGGGAAGTGAGTAAACCTTTGGGGGAAAGAAGAAGAGCTGCATGGAGGCGTGGAGTGTGTCGATATAAGAGCTCAGAGACGGACTCGCCCTGAACTCAGAAAGTATGCATTCAGAAACATGACTGCAGAAGAAGAGACGTTCAAAGGTTTAGGAGTTTAGTGTCTGCAGCACAAATCTTATTGGAAACATGTTTCTGCAGTGAGGAGAAACAAACGAAGAAAGAAAAGACTTCAAAAAAGGAAAGATGATGTTGATTTAGGCACGATTGGTTCAGGTGGCGGCATGCACATAGCTGGTTTGCAAATCTGGCAAAAACCAGAAAGAAGAAAAAGTAACCATGGCAACCACTCGCAGGCGAGCAGCAGCGCGTCCATCCTGCTAACTGAGGATGTTTTTTGTTATTCCTGAGACGCTGACAACGACCCTCTTCCTGCGTCCACATCGTGCAGCTCAGAGGAGGAAACGGGCCCTCGCTGCACGGGTACGACGGTTCTTAAAGCGACAGGAGCCGTTGAGAATGACGTCATATAGCGGTCCACTTCCTTGTTTGAGCACGGTTGCGTTCCCATCTCCCGCAGACCGAGAGACCCTAACCCTAACCCTAACCATCTATATATCATATAAACACTGAAAAGTTTATTTAAAAAGAACAACATCTGCAAACAGAGCCGGCCAATCAGAGGAGAGTGGGCATGTGGGGAGGCGGGGCCTTAAAGAGACAGCAGCTGAAATGTTGGATTTTACTGACTCCAGTATCAGATCAATAAGGAGGTTAACTCTCGTTCTCATGGAGGTCGAGTGATACCTTTAAAAAAAACAAAATCATGCAGGTTTAAGTGGACGTGTCGACTCACCTGAGCGACATCTTCAAAGTCGTCGTGTCTCTTCTGCAGGGCTCGGGCTCTGTGGAGGGACTTCCCCACCCCCGTGTGTTTGCTGAGGAACGCCTCGCCGTGGT